GATGGCAGCTATGAGGGGGTGTCAGGATGGACTGTGGTGAGGTTGAGACCCCACATTCCCCCAACCAGAAGCTCAGTGACGTCGGGCCTACAAGACAGGAAGAGACTTCGGGCCTACGCTACAGGAGAGACGTCGAGTCTACGCTACAGGAGAGACGTCGGGTCTACGCTACAGGAGAGACGTCGGGTCTACCCTTCAGGGGAGACGTCGGGTCTACGCTACAGGAGAGACGTCGGGCCTACGCTACAGGAGAGACGTCGGGCCTACGCTACAGGAGAGACGTCGGGCCTGTCCTGAACACAGCATAATGTTGGATCATGTTTGGAGAAAAAAAACACACATAAAAAAAAACACTGCCAGATGGTCCAGAAATGGACAAGCATTTATGTCTCATTTTGTGTGCAAACAGTAAAAACACATAAAATGAACTAAAGAAAAAAAAACATCTGTTCCTCATTTATGTTCCTCATATATGAACATGTTGCATATAAGCAATATCAAATGAATATATTTTAATACAGCATTTATTTTTTATATATATTTTTTAAATATAGTGCTAAAGTATTAATGATTGGGGCGGGGCTTATTTATAAAGACATAAGTGCTGTCCAATGGGCACACATCAACCAACCAATCACATGTCAATGATGAACTGTGATGTCATTGTCTTTCATCCAATGACTGAGAACCCACGTGGGTCTGCTAAAGCACCTTTGCATATGCTAGGCTATTCGTATGCTAAGTAGAGTCGTTAACACCGCCCGCTGCCCCGCAATGCCACTCCCCCTTCCTGGGATTCCGCAATCGACAGAATTCGACTCAATTGAGTGAAAATGCAAAACTGTCGATTGCTGTCGATATCTGTCACTGACTTGCTGAGTTTGCATCAGAATACAGGGTCAATAATCCCACTTTTCGACCTGTGGTACTTGAGCAGTTTACCAAATACTTTTTACACTTGCTTAATTAAACATGTTTAAGGTGTGCTGCTCTGATTAAAGTACAATTTTGGAATACTCTAACCAACTATGCATGAATGATTGCTCTACGGATCACTTTTTAAAAACAATAATCATCGCCATAAAATAATGTCTATCACTGCACGTCTCACCCCATGAAAGTCCCCCGCGCCGTGAGAAGCGTCCCTTATTTTAATTTCTGAAAAGTGGCAACCCTAACACTGCTGCCTCCTAAAAAAGGAATTAGACCAGAGGATACTTACTTATACTTATCTACCTAACCTGAACAGGAAGTATCTAGTTTATTTACTTTGGATCAACATTTTTAGCTTTTTCTTCTTTCTTTTGGTTTGTTGTTTTGTTTCAAAAGAAAGTGCTTTACAGGATTGTTGCTGAAAATGTGCTATATAAATAAAATTGCCTTTACCTAGTGACCAGAGGTATGTTTATCAGTTAAACATGAAGAAAGACAATAAAGTCTTGCTTCTCGCGCCTCCCCTGACACCTCACCCTTTCTCCCTGGGGGCACGTGCCTCATTATTTGAGAAGTACTAATCTAATGAGCATTTTCTCTAGATGAGTTTCTCTGATTGTAAGTTTGTTCTAATTCCTGTTTAACCAGACAGATAGACAGACAGGGCAAGAGGAAAAGTCACATCAGGGAAGTATGCACATGTAGCAACATTCAGATGATACATTGACATGAGTGAAAGGTTGTGACATCACGGAGTATATCTGTTTGCTGTGTTTGTGTATTGCATTTGTATGTCCATGTCCCATGTAGCTCAGTCTCCCAAGCAACAGTCTCTGATATGACGGTGTTATCTAAGACCAAGTCCGTGGGAGTGCTGTGCTCCACAGTGACATCGATGACTTCAGACGGGAATGAGGCAGGAAGGAGAGTCTTGGTTTACATATCTTTGAGTAGATTTGAGATAGCCAGTCCAAGGCCAACACAGGGGAGCCAGTGCAGATACAGAATGTTTTAGGTTGGGAGGCTTTAAATTTCAATCTTCCCTAAAGTCTTACCGAAACTTGTCTGTTCTTTCCATTCATCCAAATAGGTTGGCCATTCCACAAGATCTAAACTAGGAACTTTTCCAAGATCAATTCCATCCTTCTAGTGAGTATTAGAGTCCTCAGCTGGTCTGCGAGTCTCAGTAAGAATCGCATCCAACCTGCATCTCTGACCCACAGCATGTCAGTTTTAGTGTTTGCTATTCGGCCAAATTTTTTGATATACCAGGTATCCACAAGTTCTAAACAGCAGAAATTCTGTTATGAATCCAAATAAATCCAGGATGTATCCTGTTTGGTGTGTCCCCGCAGGACAAGTAGACTCTCTTGTGCCCAGTTTTCTCATTGAGAAAATTTGATCAACTGCATTGAGAGACCAGTTGACCAGATCCATAATTTGAAGATTTGGAAGATGTACGAACAAAGGCCCACCTAAAAAAAGCAGCACAAAAACAGAGGAAGCAGGGCAATCATGGGCAGGAAGGGAGCAAAGGAAAAAAGCATCCGCCTTCACCGAGAAATACAAAGAGAAAAAACCCCAGCATCTGTCCTTGGCCATCTATCTCCAAAGCTTTTTAAATGGGATTCAAATCAAGAAGGCATGCAGGGTGATCCAAAAGAGGGATGTTTTTTTTCTCATAAAGGACGTCTGTTGTGAAACCCAGTGTGGTCCTGCAACATCTCCAGTGAGAAATCTTTCTATGCAGATTCTTCTGTCTATCAGAGTCCAATGTCTTGGTGTACCTTGCAAATTCAAACAGGCAGGTAAGTCCTTTTTTTGCAGATCCCGTCATCATGAGAAGACTCTTCATTCAGATCTTCAAAGGCTGTCCGTTGCATCGTCTGGTTTTGTGGCGATGACAGGTTTTACCATTTGGGATTTTTGTCCCCAAAAAAGGACCAGGTTGGTTTGACACAGTGCAGTGTGAAAAAGAACCACATCAGCTGAACATTTAACTTTGATTGGCCTCCAATCAATCTGAGTCCACTGGGCTATGAAGTTTTAAAACAGCCTTACTGTGTCCAACTTCTTTGATGATGGAGATTTCTTGCTTGCCATCTTCTGACAGGAAGTCTTTTTGTCTTCAGGAGGTCATAATAGCATGAATGCAAATCCGATGTTTTTTTGTTTTGTTTTTTTGGTTTTCAACATTTAATCAGCTGATAACAGCCTGTTTAACTTTATTTATTTTTTTCTCTTGGTCACATTTTGAAGCTCTATCTAAATCTAGCTTTTATCCAGCAGGAGACATCTTCACCGCATCCAGTTTTTTTCTCCAATAGTAAATAGCTGCAAAACTAGATTCAAGGTTCCAGTAGTTCCACACATGCTGAAGGAATGTTTTTGTAATGATTTCAAACATTGTAAAACCTTTTCCTCTGCGATCAACAGAAAACACATTATATACCGCGGCTTCTATAAACTTCCTGGGATTAGCAAAGATTTTCCAAAGACATGGGGAGAATCCCATCAGGACTGAAGAGAAACAATCTTGGCTCAATGGTGAGGTGACCATTTGACCCAGTTAGTGTCTTTTCCATTGAAATCACCCAGCAAAACCTGATCCCATGTTTGAAATGATCTGAACTCAGACCCCAAGATGATTTCCATACACATGGCTGAAATGAACAAAGTTTCAGAGAACAACGAGGACGGCAACGTGTTCTTGTTCCTCACTGAGAATGCTGTCGAAGAACGACACGGGCTGCGACTGTCAAGAGTTGCACGAGTGTGTAAAGTACGTCTCTAAATGTTAAACTTCCCTTAAAACACCACATGAGTCAGTATTAAAGTCTGACATTTGTGCCGATTCAGAGCGACTTGGGAGGGTTGAGAACTTTGCAGAGAAAGTGGACTTCTTTCCTGAAAGCCCGTCTGGACTGCCCGTTTGGAGATGAAGGTTCACAGTCTCTGGTGCAGGACGTCTTTTTTCTACGAGATGAAAACAACTTGAAGGACAGTGTCTTCTACGCAACATTCACCTCAAACTTGTAAGTCATGTCTCCTCATGTTTCAATGTTCATAGAATTCAGACTTTAGCCTCTTAATCTCCAGCTTTATGATTTTACTGTGTTTAAAATAAATGAACTTCTGTTATTCAGCTGCCATAATGTTACTGTAAAGAGATTCCTGCATTTAGGTTTCCTTTCATATATGTTTTTACCAGGTTTTTATTAAACGTCATATGTTCAGAAACACACTGTCTACTTATTTGATACATAAGTTTTGTGAAAGAACCAAGTAAAACCCTTGATCCATTTTCTAAACTTACGTATACCACACCTGCAAGTGAGAAATGGAGAAAATTAACACAGCACTGGCAGGAGGTCAGGGTAGTTTCTGTATAAACTGAGTAGCCTAAACCCCACTATTTCTGATGTGGCAGTCTCCCTTGTGTCCAGGGTTAATGTTGTTTCTGAGCTGGTAGTAACAGGACCTCATTGCAGGGAGCCGTCCAGTTCCTGCAGTCAGTTCGCTGTCTGCGCCTACAAGCTGTCAGACATCCAGCAAGTTTTCAGAGGGAACTTTCTGACCTTGAGTGATTCTGGCTGCTGGACGAGGTACACAGGATCAGTGCCTACCCCCTACCCTGGTTCGGTAAGCACCAAACAAAAGTAAAATAAAAGCAATAAAAATGATCCACCTCATGTGATCTCTGATCTGTATTATCAGTGTATTAATGATGAAATGCGAGCCAAAGGTGTGAGAACCTCTAAGGACCTCCCAGACACAACCCTGGACTTTGTGAAGAACCACCCCCTGATGGAGAAAGCGGTGACCCCGATCACTGGGAGGCCCCTGCTGGTCCGGTCTACAGCCCAGTTCTCCAGAATCGTTGTTGACAAAGTAACCTCTCTGGATGGACAGCAGCACATCATCATGCTTATTGGCAACAGTAAGTAACTGGATCATACATGATGACTTAACCCATCTTGGCGTTGTTGGCAGGATCAGCCTGGACAATGGCTGTATTGNAGATATTCCTCTTTTTATATTCAAAGTTCATAAAGGAATTTCACAAACATATCCCGATAAACATGTTGACTTCCTGGTTTGTTTTCTGTCAGATTAACTGGACGGTGACCTCTAAAGAAAAAGCCCAGTGTAAGGTGAAAGGCAAGAGCATCGAGGTACACTACAGCACATTAAAATAAGGAAATGTCATATGTTCTCCCTTACCTTAAAATAGTCTGTAGAAATAGCTGTTCTTCTAACAGGAATGTGACAACTACATCATAATGATGCACACTCTGAATGATGGCAGAATTCTGGTTTGTGGAACCAAGGCATTCGAACCTACCTGCACACACCTGGTACGTTCCTCCCATACCTAAGGCTGGAGTTGTTGTCCTGTAGTTCCAGAACCATCGGCTGGGCAGTTGCTGTGTAGGAGGAATTAACAGTATAATTTCTAAATTATTATAAATATTGAATATTTTTTCAGATGTTTGAAGAAGGAAATGTGACTATGGAAGACAGTTTCCAGAGTGGCAGGGGGAAAGTTCCCTTTGACCCCAACCAAAACTTTGCCTCCATGATGAATGGTTGGTACAACGATTTTTATCCTCATGCTTAAATACGGTAGCAGAAAGGTGAGAATCAGAGAGGAAATCTCTGCCAACTAATATTGATGCTCATCACTAGGTTGCTCAAAAGTTTGGTTTGTTTGACAGTTCGGTGTGAAAATTAGTCGCATCAGCTGATGGTCATAAAAAATGTGGCAATTTTGGTCTGCAGTCCAACCGAGTTTACCAGGCTATCAGGTGGGAAAACAGCCTTACTGTCTCCAACTTCTCCAGTGATGGAGATTCCTTGTTCGCCAAGACAGGAAGTCTTGTCTTCAGGAGGTCATGACAGCATAATGCTGGATTTATGCAAAGGTTTTCACTTTTAGGGTTTTAGACTTTAATCATCTGATAATCAGCCTGTTTCAGTTTAATTCCTTTTGCCTCTTGCTCACATTTTGAAGCTCTACTTAAACATGGCTCATTCTATCCAGAACAAGATTTGTGATTTCAGTGGATCCCACTCATACTGAAGGAATATCTTTGTAATGATTTGCTTCAGGATTCGTGCAACCTTTCCTCTGTTTGCAACAGGAGACACGTTATATACTGCTGGTTCTATAAACTTCCGGGGAACAGTAATGTCTTTCCAAAGACATGGGAAGAATTACATGAGGACTGAACCAATATGGTCTTGGCTCAATGGTGAGGTGGCTGCTTGACCCAGTTAAAGCTTCTTTAACTTTGAAATCTTCGTGTGAAAGCTAACAACACATTTTAAATGATATCAGGACCCAAGATGATTTCCATAAACTTCGCTGAAATCAGCAAACATTCAAACAACAACGAGGACGACAACGTGTTCTTGTTCCTCACAGAGCTCGAAACCGAGGCTCAACGAAGCCGCTTGCGACTGTCAAGAGTTGCACGAGTGTGTAAAGTACGTCTCTAAATGTTAAACTTCCCTTAAAACACCACATGAGTCAGTATTAAAGTCTGACATTTGTGCCGATTCAGAGCGACTTGGGAGGGTTGAGAACTTTGCAGAGAAAGTGGACTTCTTTCCTGAAAGCCCGTCTGGACTGCCCGTTTGGAGATGAAGGTTCAGAGTCTCTGGTGCAGGACGTCTTTTTTCTCCAAGATGAAAATAACGTGACTGACAGCATCTTCTACGCAACATTCACCTTGATCCCGTAAGTCAAGTGTCAGATTTTCAGTACGTTGGTTGTTGAAACGGTTCATTTTCCATGAATCCAAAAACATTAACTTTTTGCCAGAAGAAATCTGGATGTCTTCTTTGCAGTTGAAATGTTTCCAGAAGCAGCATAAACTCGAGTTGAAATGCAAAAACATGCAAAAGGTAAATTTTACATCATAAGTTCCCTGCAAAGCAGACTGAAACAAACCTGAAGTTATTATCTTTGGATATAATGAGGAACGATCTAGAGTCAGCAGGCAGCTTAACTGATGGATGGAAATCAGAGATCAGGATGAAATCTTGGTATAATGATGGACTCTGACCTGAACCTTCAGAGTCACATAAAGACAGTTACAAAGTTGCCCTTCTATCACCTGAAGAATATTTCCAGGATTAAAGGGCTAATTTTCCAGTAAAATATGTTAAAAACTTGATATTGTCGTATCAATCTTCCAGACCTGGTCTGGTCCGCTCAGCATCTAGAACCAGAACCAAACATGGAGAAGCAGCATCCAGTTTTTCATGCTGATTCTTTTTTCTCAGCATTTCTGTTGCAGTTTGACTGCTGTGTTTGGGATCAATGTTCTGCTAATGTCTCAGTTTGATCCACTCTTCAGATGTTGAACATATCGACTCACATTTGGCTTCATATTACTTTGTTATATAGTGGATCCCCAGTTTGGTAATGCGTCATATAGCATTGTACTTCTTACCAAAGTTACATATTAAGTGTTAGATTCAATGTCAGTTGTAGGGATTCTTCCTTGTAAATCTCTGGCCTGTGTTTAGCTTCAGAGAGAATGCTGATAAAGTTGAAAACTGCATTTTCTTCTCTTCACCATAAAGTTTAGCAGGAGGGCTGCATGGTGCGTTGCATGGTGCGTGTCTGGATATCACAAATTCAGACCTTTATATGTATTTTTTAGGACATCCTGCAAATTCAGCAGCCAAACAGGAAGATTGGCAGCTGTTTTAAATATTTCCCACTTGGGAACAATCTGTTTTAGCTCATGCATACCACACCTGTAAGTGAGGGGTGGAACGGAGTAGATGATGGGAGATCTCTAGAGTTCAGGGTAGGTTTCTGTATGAACTGGGTAAGCACTGACATACTTTGTTCTGATGTGGTAGTCGCCCCAGTGCTACAAGTTAATGTTTTATTGGACCTGGTCGTAACAGGACTTAATTTGCAGGAAGCCGTCCAGTTCCTGCAGTCAGTCTGCTGTCTGCGCCTACAAGCTGTCAGACATCCAGCAAGTTTTCAGAGGGAACTTTATGACCTTTACTGATTCTGGCAGCTGGGTGAGGTACACAGGAACAGTATTTAGCCCGTACCCTGGTTCGGTAAGCATGAAACCCAAACTAAGATGGTAGTAAAGAAATGATCCACCTCATGTGATCTCTGATCTGTATTATCAGTGTATTAATGATGAAATGCGAGCCAAAGGTGTGAGAACCTCTAAGGACCTCCCAGACGTAACCCTGCTGTTTGTGAGGAACCACCCCCTGATGGAGAAAGCGGTGACCCCGATCACTGGGAGGCCCCTGCTGGTCCGGTCTACAGCCCAGTTCTCCAGAATCGTTGTTGACAAAGTAACCTCTCTGGATGGACAGCAGCACATCATCATGCTTATTGGCAACAGTAAGTAACTGGATCATACATGATGACTTAACCCATCTTGGCGTTGTTGGCAGGATCAGCCTGGACAATGGCTTTATTGGCCAATGAACAGGCAAAAACTACATGCAGTTTCACTGTGAATGTAAGAGAGATGTGTGTGGGACTGTTTGTATACTTACACTGTAAAACATTTACCAATAATACTTTGATTTAGTTAGCCTGTCATAGAGGGAAAAAACATATTTTTATTAGGCTATTCATACAAAAATCTCATAGTTCCAAATTAGATATTTCATTCACAAACTAAATATGTAGCTTGCAAATCAAGTCTTTAAGTAGATAGCTAAATATTAAGTCCATGAACTAAATATTTAACTTACCTAAATAAATAGTTCTTAATTAAATATTTTTATGAACAAGCAGAATATTTAGTTTAAACCTAAAAATGTATTTTTGAAATTTAATATTTGTTAAGCTAAATATTTAGCTTGCTAGCTATTTAGGAGGCTAACTAAATCCTTACTTAGAAAGCTTAATATTTAGTTAACAAGCAAAATATGTATGCCCAAGCTAAATATTTAGTTTGGAAAGTAACTATTTAATTTGGCACTCAATGGTTAGTTTGTAACTGTGACATTTACAAATGAATAAATCAGATGGTAAAAATGATTAAAAAAATTAACCCCTATATTCTTTTTCTGACTGGCTAAATAAACCAAAACATTGCTGTTAGTTTTTCGGCTGTTTAATTTAGCAAACGTTACCCTGTAGAAACCAGAGTTAACCTCTGGTTTGGTCCTCTAGACTCTGGTTGGCTGCAGAAGGTGGTGTGGTCTGATAATGATGGAGGGCGAATCATTGAGGAGTTGCAGCTGTTTCAGGATCCTCAGCCCATTCGCTTCCTTCAGCTCTCCTCTAGAAGCGTAGGTTACAGCTACATGTCTGTAGACTAAATGGACCTGGAGCT